GGCCTTCAGGCCTCTAACCTCAGATTGGGGTGCATCATTTGTACCCTTTGTTCCAAGGCTTCTGGCATCTTGGAGTAAGCAGCAACAAACTCCCCGAGCTCTCCAGACTGCAGCCAGCCATTGTGGGAGTATTGTGTCTCTATCATGTGAACCAATATTAAAAAATCCCTCTTATAATTACATTTATGCTATTGGTTCTGCTTCCCTGGAGAACAGTGACTAATACAATATATTAAGATTTTTTTAATCGATAAGCATCTCACAATGTGGGAGGTTTTAATTTGGGAACTGAGTCACACATTCATCAATCTTTTCAAAGCAGGTAGGCTTATCATTTCCTTGGATCCCAGGACATTGACCAAGAGCTATGGTTTGACATGGCATAGCTGTTTGGCTTGTTGTTCGCTCAGATCACTGTGACTTCAAATCCTGACACTCAGATGTGTCAGGGAATTTTTATTTCATTTCAGAACAACTCTCACCAGTTATTGTATATAGCTCTGATAAAAGAATTGTCATTCTTTCAAATGTCATCTTTGTTTAGAAAAGGTTAAATGACAAGGGTAACAGAGAAGAGATGACCACAGTGAGCTGCTCCTTTCTAAGCTAAATGCTGAAAAACAGTCCCTGAAATATAAAAGTCCAGTCTTATATTTGACCTAAATGCTAACTTTGGCATGGGAATGTGAAGGAAAAAAATCAACTTTTTTTTTTTTCTCTGACAGCAGATGTTAAAAGAAATGATGTTGTTTAGTTGAACTGTTGACCTCAAAGTCATGCTTATCCTTGAAGGGCTGAGATCTGTACCTTGCACATAATTTCCCAGGAGAGTACTCTGATGTTTTTAAAACAACAGAGGTTTAGACATAAGGCAAGCTTCAACTTGAAATGATGTGGGGCAGAGAGGGTATGACTTAAGCCCTGTTTAGTAAATGAAGAAATAGCGAATAGCTAGATTGGGTGTGAGTTGTGTTTCAAATAATCATACTCCATGCCTGGCTGTGTTTATATATAAATAAATACAGTATTTACATGGGGGGGGAGCTTTAAATTTTTTTGGCTCAATTATCCAAATATTTAAATTCTTTAATTTTTTTGTTCAATTATAAAAGCAAAGTATAATCATTTAAGGACATTTGGAAAGTACAGAAAATTGCTCAACAAAAGTCAGGTCATGGGCTGTGGCTGTAGCTCAGTGGGTGAGCACTTACCTAGCATGTGTGAGGCACTGGGTTCCATTCTCATCACCACATAAAAATAAATAAATAAATAAAGGTATTGTGTTCATCTACAACTAAAAAAAAAACAACAAAAAAAGGTAACTTAAAGAGAATCACTGAGTGATATAAGTCCTTATCATCTCTTTAAAGTGCACTTTTAAAATTATAATACAAAGTACAAATAATTTCAAATTGTTCTTTTTTATAGTTATCATTGCAGAACAAGTATTATATAGTCTAGTGTTCTTAAATACCTATAAAGGTGTTGCATAATATTTTATCAGGTAAAATAAATCATAATTCATCTGACAATTACCTACCTAGAAGACAGTTAAGAGTTGCATATTTAATCACCTTTATACATCAATATTTATGAAGTGTCACTTATACACATTGAAGATACAGAAATAAGTGGCTCCTGTCGTATCTAACTGGGAAGAGTGGAACAAATATACTTAGAATGCAATTAGATAAACTCAAGTTGATAAGGAAGCAGGTGGGCCAGGTAAACTGCTAGAACCAGGTAGTGTCCTAAAGAAAGTGATATCTAACTTTTTGGAAAAGTGCAGGAAAATATAGATCAGAACAAAAGAAGGAAATAAAAAGTGCTTGTGTTCTTATTCTTCCAGTATTTTCCTTCCATGATCACTCAAATTAGATATTGAATCACCCTAAAAATCTTTGCAGATTTTACTGGCAAAAAATGATTATATTTCCTTATTGCTGGCAAATTTCAGTATTTTATGTGGATTTATTATATTTGTCTTTTTAAAAATTGTTTTATATTTTCCTTGAATGATTTCTAATACAGTTTTGGCATACCTCTGATTATATGATCTTTATTTAGGATATAATTTTGTCTATAACGCAAAAGTAGATTTTGCAAACATTTTCCCAGTTTGTCTACTTTTTAATTTGATACATAACGTTTTTTGATATGCAAGAATTTTGTATTGTTAGATAGTCAAATATGTCTCTTGGAGTTTTTTCCCACTGCTCTACCTTTTATAAATTACTGCTCTCAGAAATCAGCTAGTTGTTATTTCTTTTCAGATTTTAAGACTGTATTTTTATATTTAATAATTTTATAGGATTTAAGACCTGTTTTTTGGTTTCTTGTATATTTCAACTCTATTTCAAAACCACTTTGTTATATTGGACATTCTTATTTCATGATATATTTTAGTATCTATTAGTTCTCTCCTTTCAAACTTTCTTTGCCAAATTTTTCTACCTATTTTCATTTGAACATTCTTTGTGATAAACTTTGGGATAATTTTAACCAGAACTCCAATACAAAGGACTTAAAGTTGGCATACTACACTGACGCAGCCACTTCAACATTTACAGCAGTTCAATTCACAATAGGCAAGCTATGAAAACAAGGAAGGTGTCCTTCAACAAATGAATGGATAAAAAAAATGTGGTAAATATACACAAAGGAATATTATTACTCAGCCATAAAGAAGAATGAAATTGTAGTATTTTGCCAGTTAATGAATAAAACTGGAGAATATCATGCTAAGTGAAATAAGCCAGTTCCCCTTCCCCCCCCAAAAAAAAAGGTAGAATGTTCTTTCTGATATGTGGATGCTAACCTCACAAAAAGGGAGGGGAGGATTACAAGTTCACTGGACTAGACAACAGGGAATGAAGGGAAGAGAAAGGGAATGGAAAAGACAGTAGAGTGTGGCTGGGAGTGTGGCTCAGTGGTGGAGTGTTCTCCTAGCACATGTAAGACACTGGGTTTGATCCTCAGCAACACATTTTTAAAATAAAATAAAGGTATATGAATATATATATATATTAAAAAACATATATATATATATTAAAAAACATATATTTATATATTTTTTAAGTTCTACCTTAAAAGAAAGAGAAGACAGTAGAACAAATTGGACATATCTTTCCTATCCTTATATATGGATACCGCCCGATGTAACTCCACATCGTATATGAACACAATAATGAGATTCTAATTGGAACAAGTTATACTATCTACATATAATATGTCAAAATACACTCTACTTTCATATATATCTAGGAAGAACAAATAAAATAAATAAATAAAATTATTAATTAGAAAAAAAAGAACTCCAAAAATTCTCTTGGGGGTTTATTAGAATTTTGCTAAGTTGGGGCTGGGGTTGTGACTCAGTGGTAAAGTATTTGCCTAGCATGCGTGAGGCACTGAGTTCAATCCCCAGCACCACATAAAAATAAACAAAATAAACACATTCTGTCCACTTACAGCTAAAAAAATATATTTAAAAAAAGAATTTTGCTAAGTTTATTGACTGATTACCAAAGAATTACAGAATCTATTTTTTTCATTCAAGAACATATCATGTATATCCATTTTTTGAAGTCTTCTCTTATGTCTCTTAGAATATTTATGTCTTTCAAAATGAAATGTAGGCTTTCTGCATTTTTTGTTAGGGTTGTTACTACATACTTCATTCAATTGAATTGTTTCATTCAATTGCAAATGGAGTAATCTCCCTATTCTCTTTCATGCCTCATATTGCTTTACATAAGAATACTGTTGATCTATTTTAAATTTAATTGTCTTTGTAAAATTTATTAATTTACAATTTACAAATTAATTTGTAAATTTATTAATTTTTATTAATTTTATTAATTTATTAATTTTCATCCTTTCCAGTTGACCCTTTTGGATATTCTAGAGGAGTACTTTTCATCACAAAGAATTTTTATTTCTAATAATACTTCTTGCTTCAAAATTCACTTTGTCGGACTGGGGATATGGCTCAGCTGTAGAGCACTCACCTAGCACGTGTGAGGCCCTGGGTTTGATCCTCAGTACCACATTAAAAATAAATAAAATAAAGGTATTGCGTCCAACTACAACTAAAAAATAAAATATTTTTTTAAAATTCACTTTGTCTTATATTTTTATAGCTATATCAGCTTTCAATTAGGTACCATTCATATGACATAATTCTTTGCATTCTTTTTATTTCAACATTTATATTGCCTTTAAAGGTATTTCTTAGAAGCAACATTATAGTTGAGATTATTTTTTAATGTTATGTACAAACTTTGACTTTTAATTGGGAGGTACACAGATTCCATTTATATTTAATGTTATTGTAATTTTTAAAACTTTAAATTTGCCATCTGTTTCTGTTAAGTCAATTCCTTATCTGTTTATTGCTCCTATGGATTAAATATTTTCATTATTTTATTTGACATCTTATTTGCTTGTTATTAATTTTTCTATTATTTTAACTCTTACTCTAGAGATTATAATTTTCATTCTTGATTATTAAAAGTATTTTTCTCAATTCTCACACAATGCTAGAACATTTTAATTCCAATTACTCTTTTCTACTTTTTGTTCTATTATTGTATATATTTTAGTTCTCTGATTTAAACCCCACATGACATTATTTTGTCCTTTCCTATGTTTAATATTTATTCATATCTGGCCACGTATCAACCCTTTTTATTTTTCCTTATTCCTTTAGGTATCTCTATGATTTCATTTCTTGGACCTTTCTTTCCCTTAACCCAGAGTCAGCTTTGAAACTCCCAGATGCTCCACAGGTGCTCAACACAGCTGACACACTCGGTCCTCCTAACCAAAGGGAGGCGCTGTGCATTGCCTTCATGCCGCCCAGACAGCCCGTCAGGCTGCACCTTCTCTTTCTCGGCTGCAGAGGGCGCGCATGAGGCATCGGGCGCTCAGGACCTCACGGGAGATCGCCGAGGGGCGGGGCCTGTGCGGTGGGCGAGGCCTGCGAGAGGGGCAGGGTCGGGTGCGGGGCGGAGCTGACCGGAACCTGCCTGCCGCAGTCCGAGCTCCGCATCGGGTAGAGCGTGTGTTTGAAGACTCCACGGACCGCCACGAGGCAGCCGAAGGCGGGCCCGTTACCCGCCGGCTACCGGGAGCGAGCTGAGCGGCAGAAAAGGAAGAACGCCCGAGCACCATGATCCCTCTGGAGAAGCCGGGCAGCGGCGGCTCCTCCTTGGCTGCCACCTCAGGCTCGGGCCCGGCGAGTCGGAGTCAGAGCGCGCCGCGCCGACCGCCGCCGCCCCAAACCCGCGGGCTGCTGACAGAGATCCGCGCTGCCGTGCGCACTGAGCCTTTCCAGGACGGCTACACCTTGAGCCCTGGCCGAGAGCTGGGCAGGTAAGGGCTGGGCCGGGGAGCGGGACGACCTCGGCCGGGTGCAGAGCCTCCAGGTACTCGCCGATAAGTACCGCGGCTGGAAGTGGCGTTAGGCACCGATAACGCGCTTGGTGACTTGGCACAAACTTAGGGGCTGGCGGCGACTAGGGCGCAGAGTCGCTGCCCTCCGCAGAGCCGGTGTGAGCTCCGCGAGCGACTAGCAGCTAGCCATCGAAGCAAAGTACGAAAGAGCAAGGTATTCGGTGCCTCTGGTTACCCCGAACCTTGACGAAGATCCTCTGCTCACGCCTTTTCACCATCTGTAATGATTTAAATGGTAATTTAGCGAGATTAGTGTGTGAACCACACTGCAGATCTGAAATAAAACTAGAGGCTTATGAAGTCAGCTTTGGTTTTGCCTTTAGACTTTTCCGGATTTCTCCACCGCTCTCTGTGGCCTTCATGAACTGCAGCATCAGTTGTGACAGCTTCCTTTGCACCGGTTGCTGTATTAACTTCAGCCGCCTTCTGCTGCCTTCATCGTTTTCCTTTTCGTGGTTGGTTTTGTGCCTTTTTTGTTGTTGATGTTGTTCTAAAATATTTCGGTAATTCAGATAAGTTTCAGCTGTAGGGTCTTGACCCTTTTATCACTCTTTCTACTTTTCTGTGAGCCGGCTCTTGCCTGCCCCGCTCTTGATGGGGGTTAGGAAGAAGTTAGATTTCTTTTTTCCTTTCCTTTTTTTTTTTTAATTGTTAAAGCGAAGCCTGTTTGGATGATTTCATTTTGTTTGTTTAAGAAGAGTGATATATCGATTTCTATGGGATTTTTGAGACTCTTCTTTTGAGACAGTTTAGAGAAATTGTTGGAGGTCAGACCTGAGTTCATATGCCTTGCCCTTCCTCATGAGTTTGCCTTTGGGTGGATGATTTAAGACTCCTCGGCCTCACTTTTGTCATCAATAAACCGGAATAACGACAGTACTTACCTCATGGAGATGTTGTGAAGATACAGTGCCTGGAAAGTGCATACCACTGGGCCTGGCACATAGCGTTCATGTTCACCTTTATTGCAAGCCTGTGAATGGTTGCAAAATACCTCCATGTTGTAATGGGAAAGGCCCTGACAGTTAGGATAGCCTTCAGCTGGGGTCTTGGAAAAGGAATTGGTCACAAATTATTAAAAAGGCACAGCTTTACAAATATTAAGATAACTTTTCAGAATATTTTTTTGCCTTAACATCCCAGTGTTAACAAAAGGAAAATACCTTTCAGGAACAAATTTTCTTTCACTGTGCTAGACACTAATTGACTGGTTCAGTGTACACTATAATTATGATACTAAGAGAACAGCTACTGGCTGAGCGAGGTATTTCTAATTTATTGAAATTCTATGCAATCTGAAGTAACCTCAGTAACATTAAAAAAAAGAAAAGAAAACTAAATTTTCCATTATTGGCATGAGTTGTCTGCAAATGCTTAAGATGTCAAGCAATGTCTTGTACATTTAATTACAAATAATTTAATCTTAAAAACTGATTTGCACCCTATCAGGTGTCATGGAACTAATTCCTCCAGGAATGTTTCTTTCAATTTTTGTTTTAAGCCCTATTATAAAATCAGATTGCCTCCAAGGGCTTTTTATTTTAGGTTTGATGACTTCTGCTTACTTTTGCCTGTATAGGTGTGTATATTTCTTTTTTTCTTTTCTTTTTTTTTTTTTTTTGTAGTTGTAGATGACCAGCATGCCTTTATTTTGTTTGTTTATATGTGGTGCTAAGGATTGAACCCAGTGCCACACATTTGCTAGGCACGCACTCTGCCACTGAGCTACAGCCCCAGCCCCTGTGTATTTCTTTATAAAAGGAATAAATCCTGAAGCAGCAGAAAAGTGCACTTGACATAAGAGCCTAAAACTGAAATACTTAGACGTAGCTACTTGACAGAAGATCTTAAAACTGAAAACTACAATTAATCTATTTTTTTTATTTTTGGTCCCCTTTTTCATCTTGAAGTTTAAAGTAACAGTTAAGAATATGAGCTTTGGAGTCAGTCAGTCTGGGATAGAATCTTGGCTTTTATTAGTTACGTGGACTTGAGTATATTACCTAATCATTGATTGCCTCATAGAGTCGTTGAGAATTAAATAAAACACATCTATAGCCTTAAGGCTGTGCTTAGCTTAGGGAAAACACTCAATAAATGTAATTCACTGTGTAACTCAATAAACATTACTATTCTTAATGTAACCAACAAAAAAAAAAGAAAACCTGCACAACTGCAAAATATGCCTGTCTCTGGCAAAAATAATGAACTCTTGCTACAAAGGGCATAGGAATTGTTTATAAGTCTCCGGAGGTAGAAGTTCTGCTTTGTGTTATAAGCAGTCCTTGTGTAAGGTTCATAAATTTTGTCAGTAGATTGTGGTTTTAATATGTTGAATGTGTTTATGCATGACTTTTTTCCTGACAGGGTAGAAAACTTGTCTATTTTTCCAACTGTTAACTCTGGTTGCATTTCTGATATATAACTAATTGATCTCATGCTGATATATAACTTAAAATATCACCTTGGTTGTATTTTAATGATATAGAGGAAAAATAAACAGTTTTATTCACTTCATACTATGGCCTTTTATTCAGTAAAATAGAAAGGGTTCAAAGAGTAAACTGTTCAAGATAAATCAATTTCTTTTAAATGTTGCTATTATTTTATAAGAGATATAGAGCTTTCAATACAATGACCTTTCAAAGAGAAGTTTTTAAAATGGTCAGTATTGATTCCAGAGTATACAGGATGTGATATTGATCATTTTAAGAAGTGCCACATTCTTCCATGTCTTAAGAGTTCATAGCAACATGAATGTGTAAATATATGATGTAAAACTTTTATTGCTTCAAGTTTGACTTGTTATTCCTATACCCCTTTCTTTGAGTCGGGATTTGTGCCAATGTAAACCACATTAATGATTTCATTACTGAGGCACAGGACATAAGACCTTGAGTTCTGAGGATTTTTTCATATTGATTTCCCTTGAGTTTATTGATAATACAGGAACAGAAAGATGGTTTTATAAATTTTATATTATACTAATTTCACATTGGATGATTTGCCTTGTATGTATTTTCATTACATAGTACCCAATTTAACACTTTTAATATATTTATAAATCTTATATTAAAAAACACATTTTAAACCAAAAGCACATCTTTTGTCCTTTATATTACACACTTGATTTGATTTTCCTGGGGGGGGGGATGAGTTACAAATGTAAGTTCCCTGCTGGACAGGTCCTTCATAAATGGATATGTTTTACAGTTTTATAATTTTCTCATTGGTTCTCACCACAGGCTTATTTGGAAAGCCTTATTTATTAGATGAGAAAACCAAGACAGAGATGAGGTCTTCTGAAAGACCTCAGAGCCTCTTTGGATTCCTGACTTTGAAATCATTCCCATTGCACATAGATGTTTTTCAAAGAATAATCTATAGGGCTCAGATTGTAGCTCAGTGGTAGAATGCTTGCCTAGCACATGTGAGGTATTGGGTTTGGTCCTCAGCACCACATAAAAATAAATAAATAAAATGAAGGTATTATATCCATCTGCAACTAGAAAAAAAAATTAAAAAGAATGATCCATAGTCTGTCTTGTAACTAAAGCAGTTTTCCTTAGATTTAACAAGAGGCTATATTAATGAGAGCCAAATAGGAATAAACCTTAACAGGATTCAGTGTCAGAATCGTTCCCTCCTCACTGGGGCCTTACCAGTAGATAGGCCTGTCCTATCTCATTCTCCTCAGAGCAGTTAAGAGTAATAGGACAAGAAAGGACTGTTATCAGAGAATAAGACAATGTTTAAGCTGAAAGTCAATTTAGGGATTAGTTTATTTCTAGACCTGTATGTCCTTTACTTAGGTTGATGTCTGTAAGTAACAACTATACGTTTAAACCTTTCAATTCCTTAAGCATGTGCCATAAATTTTAAGTTATAATTTGTTTAGATATAAAGACACTTGTTAAATAATATCCATGTAAAAACTTCCTTATTTTAGGACAGGAGTTATATAGGATTTCTTGGCAGCTAATCATTTATTTGAAGAATTATATTTATAAATAATTTGGGGTAATCTGATACTTCCAAACAGATAAAAGAAAATTGGCTATGTTTGTGCAACATCTGTAAATTAAGAATTATATTTTAATTTAAAATACATGAATTTAGGGGCTGGGATTGTGGCTCAGCGGTAGAGTGCTCACCTAGCATGTACAAGGCCCTGGGTTCGATCCTCAGCACCACATAAAAATAAAATAAAGATATTGTGTCCAACTACAACCAAAAAATAAAAATAAATATTTAAAAAAAATTTTTAAATACATGAATTTTAAACTTAATGAATTTCAGTCTCTTTGTAAAGCTATAAATAACAAAACTATATGAAATCTGATTATTGAACCAAATTGATTTACCTCTAAAGGTACATAAGAGCAAGGCATGGTACGGCACACCTGTAATCCCAACAGTTTGAGAGACTAATACAGGAGGATCACAAGTTCTAGGCCAGCCTTAGCAATTTAGTGAGGCCCTATGCAACTTAGGGAGACCCTGTCTCAAAATAAAAAGTGAAAAGAGATGGGGAATTAGCTCAGTGGTAAATTGCCCTTGGATTAAATCCTCAGTACACCCCCAAAATTTTTTTAAATAAAGGTATATAAGAAGAGACTAGATTTAGGGAATTTTCACATGTAGAGTTCAAATTAAATCACCTCTAAGTATTACGGGTTGAGTATAGCTCAGTGGTAGAGCACTTGCCTAGCATGAGTGAGGCACTGGTTTACATCCTGAGTACTGGGGCCAGGGAGATGATCTAACACCTCCAAAAATTCTCAGTTCCTTGATTTTTTTTTTTGTACAAATTGTTTTCTTCAGTTATATCACAGATCATAAATTAGCGCCCAAAACAATAAAAATAGCTAATGATTTCTAAAAATGTGCTGAATGTTGTGTAGTTTATAAATCTCATT